GGAGGAGGAGTGAAGAGGGTGAGGGGGGGAAGGAGGAGGAGTGAAGAGGGTGAGGGTGAAGAGAAGTTGGGGGTACCGTGAAGGGGAAGTATTGCCTCGGGAGCGGCACAGCCTTGATGTCTCTAACATTACACCCACCATATCGCCGTACACGAAGAGCGCAGTCCCGACGCCAATGCCGCTGTAATACACACAGAGGGTGCGGATCCTCCTCCAGCCACCAGGCCCGGCCTGGACCGCCCGACTCATCACCAAGGAAACGGCGCGCGTCACGCAGCGGCGCCCACGTGACTAGACCCCCAACACCCCCGCACACAACCCGAGCATCCCTCAGCTCACTTTGTAATATTAAAAACAACCAAACATGTCACAACCTTTTACTTGACAATCCTGATAAATAACTGAATACCAGCACGAGTTTCGAAAAAGTTAACGTGAACCAGGTGGGGTCAGGGTAGGGGACAGGGACAAACCTCAGCTACACTTCGTCCCCTCTGCTAACTGGATCTCGGAAGTGAATCAGTATCCCTCAGCCAGATTCCGGATGACCAGCATTGCAGATAGTCTCATCCATTCCGAGATGCCAACTTTCATTTTAGTGCTACTTTCTGTTGAAGGAACAGCCTTCATCTGAAGAAGGGTCTAGGCCCGAAACGTCAGCCTCTCTGCTCCTATGATGCTGCTTGGCCTGCTGTGTTCATCCAGCCCTGCAACTTGTTGTCTCGGATTCTCCAGCATCTGCAGTTCCTACTATCTCCCAGCCTTCTGTTAGGCCTGGCCTTTTCACTGATGGGCTGGCAATGTACAGTTGAGCATCCGACACGACAGTCTGTGCGTGGCTGAACACCAGTGATTTACTAGCAACCAGGTCATTTGACATGTGTGAACTAGGAAGTTGGGGCTTAGCACCAAATGTTTCTTTTTGTCTTTCCTCTTCCCCTCAGGAGACGGATGTAGCAGATTTTTCGCCAGAGACATCTTAAGCTTCCCTATAGGTACTGATTACAGTATCCACTCTCACCACACTACATTTCTCCCCACCAAAATAACTCCAGCAAATGAGAGCTTGCAACGTATAGCACTGAAGTGAGCAAAAATATTATTTGCTTTCACAGAGATAGAAGCCAGGATTTTAATTTTTTTAAAAAAGCTGAACTTGCTGGAGAAACTCGACAGGTCTGGAAGCATCTGTACAGAGAAAGCAGTCAGTGAAGGATCACCAGACCTGAAACATTGAGTCCGCTTTTTCTTCATAGATGATGCCAGACTTGCTGAGTTTCTTCCAGCAATTTTTGTTTTTGTTTCAGATTTCCAGCACCTGCAGCTTTTTTTTGTTTTTGGCAAAAGTGAAAAGCAAAAAATTATAAACTTTTGCTATCTTGAATCCCATGAGAACGATTGCCTGCAATAGAAGTAAGACATTGGTGTAGGATTTAGAGACCAGAGGAATCATTCAGTATATGAGGAGATTACAAGATCTCTTGTGGTGTAGTGGTAGTGTCTGTAACTCTGAGCTAAGAGACCTGGATTCAAGTCTCGCCTACTTTAGAAGTATGTAATAACATCTCTAAACGGGTTTATTGAAAAATAATTTACAAGGAGACCATTTAGTCCATTGTGCCTGTACAAGCTTTTCCAGATACTATCTTATGATTGCTGGATACATTTTGTCAAAACTTTTATACTATTCAATTGGTCCAAATCCTCCACTCTTTCTCTGTTTTTTTTGTTTTCTAGTGTATGTGCAATTTTTTTTAATGAAAGTTACAACCGAATCTGCTTCCACCACCATTTTACTTAGAATAGTCCAGATCATAGCAACTCACAGCAAAGAAAATCTCCTGTCACGTTTTGCTCTGTAGATAATTATCTTAAATCTGCACCCTCTGGTATACAATACTCTTTTCACCTTATTTATTCTATGCAAAATTTTCACGATTGTGAACACCTGTTAAACAGCTCATGCAGTTTCTCCTGTGGTGCAGTTGTAATGTCCCTAACTCTGAGCCAGGAGGCCCAGGTTCAGGGGGCCCAGGTTAAGGACCCACCTTCTCCAAAGGTGTGTAGTGAGACCTCTAAGCAGTTTGAGTAAAATAAATATATCAAATCTAGTTGTTCCCCGAGGAGACTGTCAAGGTCATTTGGCAGAATGCCTCATCACCAGAATTTTCCAACAAACTCTGAGATAGCGCTTGGCTAGTGGTGAGAAAGGCATTACCTGTGGGATCTTTCATGTATATCTCGATTCTCTGCACCAGTGCACACTGCTTTTAAGGCAGCTGCAGATGGTGGGGCGAGGTGAGTAGACACTGTCATCCATTTCCTTCTGGAATGTGCCTTTGCAAAGGATGTCTCGAGAAAGATGCAGTAGCTTTTGTCAAGGTTTGTCCCAAGCAGATCTGTGACGTAGGTCTCCGTGTTCTATGGTCTATTCCTGGGATGCACACTGAGACAAACAGAGTAAAATACAGAAAATGGTGGAAACTCTTGCAAAGCATTCAGTACCTGTGGAAAGAGAAACTGAGTTAACGTTTCGGGTTGTGACCTTTCATCAGAACTGCAATTGACTGGCTATATGTTTTTTTCCAAAACCTCTGTGGATTCCGGTAACTCTGAGCTGTGCTGTGTGGAATCTCTATACAGGCAGTCGCCAGGTCGTAAACAGTTCCATTCCTGAGTCTATTCACAAGTCAATTTGTATGCAAGTAAGAATACAATACAGGACAATATCAAGCAGCCATTGTTAAGTACAGGAAAAGTTCATATGTCGGATATTTAAAATTACACCGAGTGGGATCACCTTCATAAGTAAGAGTGTTTGTCAGTCAGATGTTCATAAATTGGGAACCCCTGTATGTGATTCAACACTTCCTATACTACAGTGACTAATTGTTGTTTCCTGGTTTAAACGGTCTTGTCCTCCTGCTCTTTACAAAGTCATCTGTATATCCATTGGGATTCCACTGCAGATGTTGGACACCAATCCCACTGTAAATGCTGCCAATGCTGTGGTCTCCGATTGTTAGGGATGTTAGAAATGGGCTTCAAGTTAAAACATTCTAAATCAGAGGTGGGAATTTTATCAATGGCCACTCTGGTTGAACATTAGTATCCAAGTGGATGCCAACTCAGGATTTATAAACCATAGTGTAGCCACCACTCTGTTGGGGAAATGAAACCAGATGGGAGACAGGCATGAGAACAACACATCAGAACAGCAGCAGGGATCCTGAATTAGGTCAATGGAAGTTTAATATCTGTTAGTTGCAATCACATTGTACTGAAAGATGTTTACAAAATTATGAGCGGGCTGGACAGAGTTGATAGGGAGAACCTGTCCCCACTCAATAAAAAAAATGAGACGACTTAAAATGTTGTGCAAATGAAGTAAGAAGGTGAGTAACAAACATTTACAAACAGTAGTAAGGGTGTGGAATACACTTTCTGCAAATGTGATGAAAACATGTTCAAGTAAGCCATTTAAGAGGGCACTGGATGATTGCTTAGATAGAAATGGTTTGCAGGAGTGTGGGGGGAAAGGCAGGAGATTGGCACATAATACAGTTTTACCGTAGCCTCTTTATACATAGTTTTTACATACATTAAAATTTTAGCACTATGCTGTTACATGGTTGTATCTAGTGTACACAACTTTGTGTGACAACTGGATTGGGGAAGCAGGAGATAGTTTAAGCACTTGCGAAATGCTGGCTGTTACTCCTGATGGGATTAGAATGTCTGTCCAGTCTGAGCTTGCATAATTAAGAGGTGTTAGACCTTTTGTCTTTAAAGTTAGTAATGTTAGTAAAAATACTAGTCCTATATGATCTAAATAAGTGAGAAATTATATGTGTACTAAATAAAAGTATAGAGGATATTAAACTGATCTCCTGCAGCTGGGCCATGAGATTTCATCTACTATTGCTGGTTTTTGACAGTTTCGACACATTCATTCATCCAGTTTCATGGAAGCACTGTTTTGATAGTAAGTTTTTTAAAGAGGGTAGCAGCCCTATATAATATGTATTTAAAAAGTATAAATCCATATGTTAGTACAAGATGGTTGTCCTAAATAGAAGTTAGAAATAGGTAGTACCATGTTATAGAAATAGGATGTGTATAATGAAATTTTAAAGAGATCAAAAGCAGCAGACTGTAGGCACTTGATGGTGGAGGAAACTCTTTGATGTCCTGCAGCCTATTCAGGTCCCAAGAAGCAGTTACTAAGGGCTAATTAATATTATAAGCTTTCTATAGTTTTGAGTGAGTTATGGAGACACAATGGCAGGGATGGCATTGTTCTGAGTAGGTTACTGTGTTAACATTTATTCAAGGGTAGCCTTTGATACAGAAACAGGTCTAAACACTGCTTGCAGCACGGGGCTGATAAGAATTGAAAGGTGTAAAGAAACTGTAAAGGGTTGGCAGCCTAGGAAGGGATGTTTAATTTAGTTTATTTTGTAAGAGTAAAATGTACTACAAAAATGCATTTTTTTGAATGAATGAATGGAAATGCGGTATAGTTAACACAGAGTGCTTGTGAGTGAATTCGTGAAGAGAATCGTAATACAATATCTCACAGAGGGTTTGAGCTATAGAGAGAGGCTGAATAGGCTGGGGCTATTTTCATTGGAGTGTTGGAGGCTGAGGTGTGACCTTACAGAGGTTTATAAAATCATGAAAGGCATGGACAAGGTCTTTTCCATGGGGTGAGGGAGTCCAAAACTAGAGGCCATAGGTTTAAGGTGAGAGGCGAAAGATTTAAAAGGGACCTAAGGGTCAACCTTTTCATGCAGAGGCTGGTGTGTGTATGGAATGAGCTGCCACAGCAAGTGGTGGAGGCTGGTGCAATTACAACATTTAGAAGACACCTGGATGGGTATTTGAATAGGAAGGGTTTAGAGGGATATGGGCCAAATGCTGACAAATGGGATTAGATTTATTTAGGATATCTGGTCAGCATGGACATGAAGGGTCTGTTTCTGTGCTGTTCATCTCAATGAGTCTATAACTTCATAATATTCTTCAATTTGAAGGTGCACTAAAACAATATATCTCTTCTGTAAATATATATGATGGAAAAATGAGAATAACTTTCTCAACAAAATGAAGAAATAAGGAATGTAGGATGCAGAAGCAAACTTGGTTATTGATTTGGTACAGTAAGGTCACTCTATATGGACAGAAAGTGCAAGCAGCAGAAGCTGAAGAGCCCCTTAAGAAACAGATTTGTCGATCTTTGATCATGGACCTCTTGAGAGGGTCCATTTTG